ACCACAACCACCACAACCACCACAACCACCACAACCACCACAACCACAAGAACTGAATTCTGACACTCCTGGGCTGATGCAATTTGCATTTGGCAGAGACTGTCATCCCTTGAACAAGGAAACCCGGAGCTCCGTGATGGGCAAACTGAGTCATGAGCGAACTTTTAGCATTTCTCACCAAGCTCTAAACGGGGCGTAAGGAGGCGCCTGCTGCATGCCAGTGCCCAGGAAAGGAGCATAATCGGCCCAACCTGCGGAACGGATCCAGCTTGGCACTTCTGACCACCCCTTGACGGTGGTACCTAGTTGGGTGCTGGTCACTTTTGTCCAGTTTGGGATCCAAATGAATCCACAAAACCTGGGAACTGTGTGGCGGCAATGGTTTCTTTTCAGAAGGGACCAAGGGGATGAGAAAACATCGGAGGTGACCGATGCGTTCAATTCGTTCAATCAAGTCTTGCACCTGCGGGTACTGCACATGGTGGACCTCGACTTGTATCACTCTGCTCCGCAAATGCGCAAATGCATGACTTCATCAAGGATGCTCCCTTTGATTCAAGGATTCTTGGAAAAGGGAACATCTTCATAAGCAATCTCAATCCCGAGAACACAAATAGTTTGGCTCCTCCAAAAAAAACGACTAACTAACATCCTTCCTTCCTCCATCTTGAGACCCATCTCTTGCCTTCATCTACAAAGACTAATAAAAGACACATCCAAAAAACAGTTGAAAACACTTCACCACATCATAGAAGTGACTGTTTTCACTCTGTGTGCTGCTTTGTCTTTGTGCGCGGGAAATGAGGCACACATAAGGCCAAGACCTGAAGCAGAACTGTTGTGGGGTTGCTGGAAAAAACCGCTAAAATCCTGAAAAAACAAGCCCCTTCCGTGTTTTCACGGGTCTGACCAGCTCCGCCTCCCACATCCTTCATCCATGTGGAGGTTCTTGAGGACCTCACCCATCCCTCCTTTGGTTTCATGTCGAATGCCCCTGCCTTTCCAGCCGGCCATGATCTTCATTTCCTAGCGTCGTCCGCGCTGCCCATCGAACGACGATGTGGGCACCGGCCGGTGCGCGATGTCGGTGGACCAACCGACGTCTTGATCGGCGTGCTTGGCCGGCCGAGGAAGCATCTGTATTGGTTCAAAACGAGAATGACCAAACCCCTCCAGTGACCCAAACCTCAACTGCTGATTCGCAACCAAATGTTGAAACACCCTAGCTGATGGGAAACTGGAGCAAATAGATGTTCAACTCTCTGTAAGGCCCGACGTCTCTTAGAAGGGACTTGTGACATGTGTGTGTGTGTGTGCGTGCACGCCCGTGCACGCCCGTGCACGCGCGTGCGCTCTCTCTCTCTCTCTCTCATGTAGTGAAAGCTGCTGCTTCCAACGATGTTGCTTCCAATTGCAGGGCAATATCACTTTTCAGGCTGGAAGCTACAAGCTTGATTGAGGCTTTTCTGAACCGCCATTCCATGAGGAGAACCAGTCCTGCGTCAAAACGTCCCAGTGACTACAGTGACCTTCATTGTATAAACCCTGTGAAGCCACTGTGACATTCTAGGCTTGAAGGCCTCTAATAGTAGACATCTCAACTCAGGTCTGGCCAAGCCACAGTCTCTCCATGCGTGGTCAGCGGAGCTGTGAAAGACACCTGGGCTGGGCTGTGCACACCTCTCTCCAGGAGTTCAGGTGGCAAATGACTTCTGCAATCGCCAGTGAACCAGTTACATTCGAACGAACAAGTCACATGGAAAGTGGACCATGACCTCTAGCAAGACCGCTTTCCGCCAAAACCAAGGGTGAACGGATTGGACGACTCACATTCTCAGTGACGTGCCCGTGGTAGCCCGTCGTTTTCTCGCTTGCAACACGACGGACCAAATAAAAGCCTCCCCAGAAAGAGTGTCCAAAAAACAAGAAATGCCGCCCAACAAGCCGACACGATGGACAAACATATTACAAAAAATGACAGAATGCGTGTGGCAAACCCATGGGTGCAAACCATTCAAACCTCTGCACCCGGCTTTTGTGGAGCCTAAATTGGGCCGCCTTTTGAGGGGCCAAAACCGCCTCAATCGGGCGTTGCCTTTCGGATCCTCTTGAGGCGCTGCAAGCCAAGCGGCTGTGGTTTCGGTGAGGGTCACAGTAGGTACAACGACCAAACCCAAATACACCTGGCCGGGACCAGTCGGCAACGGACCAACGGCAGGGCCGGACCGGGCAACGGCTGTTTCCGAAAAAGGCGTCTTTCGACCTGCTTGGACCTGCTTGGATTTTTCTCGGAGTGCATGCAGGATAGATTCAGGGCTGAACAAGCAGGAACCGCTCACGTTCGCACAGGAATCGCTCCTGGCGATGAGCGCGCGCCCATCGATGTTGATGCTATAGCAGGCTTGTGGAAGTTCTATGTGCTTCTAGCAGTCCACAATATTACACGTGATCCTCTTCCCCCCTTAAGGCACTGGTTGCGGCACTGGTTGCAGCACTGGTTGCGGCACTGATTGCGGCACTGGTTGCCATTGTATGTGTCAAGGACAGGGGTACACGGTCCGCACAGCTCCCTCATCCACCAGCCTTCACGTCCGCATCCATCAGGCCATCAAAGTTGCGGATCTGGATCACCACGCTGTCGCCTTCCACCATGTTCACGGTGTAGTTCACCCAATCCTCGAGTGCTCTCAGAAGGAGTTCCTAGAGGTCTGACCCCGAGCACCGCCCATGCACCGGTGCCAATTCGTGCGACATCCGCACTCGCCTTGCGATCGCAAGATGCCTGCTGCAGAGGTAAATCAGCCATCTCAGTTTTGACCTGTCCGAAGTCTGGTTACTCAAGATTGTTCTTTTTTGAGCCTTTCAATGGAGCAGCTCGATTCGGAGCTAATGCATCCTGATGCGTCACGCCATGCACCACCCTCCACATTCTCAGGAGAAGAAGATCATAGAAGAATCCAAGATCCAAGATCTATAAGCATTGGACCCAGGGACCCATGCCTAATCATAGAAGATCTAAGATCTTCTATCTTCGGGGCCATGCATGGCCACCTTCCCTTTGACACCCCATGCGTTCACAGCTCAAACCGAACGACGAACCGCGACGTCGCCGTCAGCCTCTCGTCGCCGAGTCGCGGAGTTCCCGTTCACGCTGATGACGTCGATGTATGGCTGCTGTGCCTTGGACCCGGGAGGAGGGCCGTGCTGGGTCGTCCGGTGACACGGCGGCTGTGCCGGCACACAACCCCTTCCACGAGTCCCTATCTATCTCGTCACAGTAGCTGAAGTAGCAAATGATGAGATCTTGCGTGCAAAATGAAGAGATCTTTAGTAAAGTCTTCCTGGATGGTGAGATGAATGCTCCCGTTTGCAACAAGCGACGCTTGGTCATCTTGAATTCTTCTAAGAGCTTGCAGAAAGTAAGCAGAAAAGACCGGATGAGTTTCACCCCCCAAACGACGCGGACGCGTCACGTGCGTCACGTGCTTCTTGAAAGCCCTACGCGCCTCACTGAGGTAGGAGAAGCCGAAGGGTGTCGTGGGTTCGTCTCCTGGTCGAAAAAGCGACCGGTCAGTTGAGTCCCAGGGCCCGCTGAAAGAAACAGTAAAGAGTTGAGACCGGGCTGAGCATGGAAGAAACATGTCCGGAGCGAGTGTGTTTGGCTTCTCCGGAAATCCGGAACTGGAGTAACTGGAACGGTTGGTTTCTGGTGGATGTCTCCTTTAGCTTGGTCCGGCCACTCCTCCAAAACAAATGGTGGAGTTCATGATGCCCACTAAAAAGAGGAGACAAGATGGTTCGCAACATCTTCTGCTTGGTTTTTTTTCAACTTAGGCTTTTCCTTTGGAACACCTATGTGTTAAAGGGTCAAACTGGCAGTGGACCATGTGCTATTCGAGTCATTGAGGACCACTGCGCACAGCACTGGGGGACCTGTGTCAGCCCTGCATCCCCCTCAGCGCGCCCTTGGCCGTGAAGGCGCCCCCAAGTGCCCTTGCCTGACTCTGGAATCTCTTTCGGAATACTCAAAGTCGGTGAGAAGATTCCTGCGAATGATGGGCACGCTTGCGCTCGCTTGCGCTCGCTTGCGCTTAAGTGCTTTGGCAACATGAGGGATGGAAGCAGCACGGGCACACGTGCCAGAGTTTGGAGCACAAAGAAAGATTCAAGCTTTATTGAAAGGACTGCATCGTTTGCAGTGATGCCCTTTCCTTTTGGTACCTCTCTCAACCATGCCAACCATACCTAGAATCATCTACAATCCGCACATGCACAACCTGATCAACTCAGAATTGAGTTGGACGCAACAATCCCTCCCAGCGGCTCGCCGCCCGGCTCGCCTAAGCTCATGTTGCTGTTGACTTCCACAAAGCCCGGTTGAAACGCCGGTGTCAAGGAGGACAAGACCGAAACAGGATGCTCCAGCCTGCGAGGCGCGCCGCATCGTGCGCTGCCTGTGCAAGCCTTGTGCAAGCCTTGTGCAAGCCTTGTGCATGCTACAATGTCTCGGGATGTCTGAAGAAGAAAGACTTACAAACTGACACACAGAAGTTCTTGGTTACCTTCGAGCCGGTTATGCAAACTTATGGCCTGTCCTTCTTTATTCCCTGGAAGTGCCAGTATTCTTTGCGCAATATGCAGCACAGGACAAACTAAGGATCAAATCAAACGCCATCTGCTTGGATGCCTGGTGTATTCCACCCTGGAACTCAGCTCTTTTAAGTCTTTCTGAGATAGCAACGTTTCCATATGTTGGCATCAACATGAACGCAACAAATATACATCAGATTGTCAGTCAGAGAATATCGCCTGTACCAAATCTTCCTCAAACTAGTGCGATCTTCCTGGTCTAACAAACAATTGCAAAGAATGAATAAATCTTCCCCAAAAAAAAAAATCAGCTGTATCTGGCTACATCTGGCATGATGGTCTGATCTCTAGCCCATGGGTTCACCATGTTCCGATCAAGAAAACATCCCAAGCTTCTCAAGCTATCCCCAAAACGGATTAAGAAGTTCAAGGCATCCCTACAATTCAATCCGTTTTGCCCCCCCCCTTGGCCCGGTGACCTGGTGCCTTCTCCTCCCAACTGTGTGTCCTCCTTCGACCGACCCCGGTCCGGTCCGCTCCAGACGCAGTCACCCCTCCGCCCCCCCGGGCCGGAAGAGGGAGATGTCGGGAGGAGACAGCAGGCCAAAGCGGGAGGATCCCGAAAGCTCGGTACCTGGTTGTTGCTCCAAGCAGAGAAGATCGGGGGGGCGAGCACGCGCTCTGCGGCAGAGCGGGTTGAAAGAGATCACAGGATCTGTTTCACTGGATTCACGATGGATTTACTATGTGTATCATGGTCGTGGCTTGCCAGCATTCGTTCAAGTTTGACCACTGGCGTGAACCGGGCTGTACTGTTTCTGAACCCCAAGGCGCCAATCGAGCCACTCTTCCACACTTCTGAGTTCCAGACTTCCCAGGATGCCTTCTTGGACGTAGTTCCATCGGAAGTCTGGAGCCGGTAACCGTCGCCGAGCGGATCGAGGCGTGTTGCGCGTCCGTTTCGCGCGTTTTGCGCCACACAACGAGAGAGGCGCAGAAAAGGCGAAGAAAGGGGAGCGAGCGACCTGAACGCCTGCTATCGCCTGCTTCGGTGCAAAACAGCCGGTCGGAACAAGAAGATTCACCCTGGCCTGCCCAGCTGAAAATCAGTCAAGAAAATCGGTATATCAAAGGACGGGCAAGGGTTCACCACGATTCACCTGGCCTTGGCGGAACAAATGCCCGCACTCGCAATCCAAATCCTCAGGTTGCACAGCGAACGACTGCGAGGTAGAACACCTCGGTCCCTGGTGTTCTCTCTGCGCAGGCCCCAAATCGGTCCCAAAGAAACTGTCGCGCGCTTCCTCGAGAGGTTCCTTCATCTTTCCGACATCTCCAAGTCCAAACTGCGGAATGGAGTCGACCATGTGTCGTATACAACATGTTGTGCCAACGGGGGGGGTTAGCCCCGCCGGCAACATATATCCGATCATATCCGATCCGTTGACTAGTCTTTCAGGGTGGGGGGGGGTTGGGGTCAGTTTCGTCCGTGTTACTACTCGCGTACATCGACTTTGACGTTGACTTGTCGACTCGGTGACCTTTCGTTCGCTCGGTGACCGCTTTTCTTGGCTTAGAGGACATGACGGGTTCGACGTTCGAGGTGTGTTTTAACACTGCGTATGGGTTTTCTTGGCCGTTGCGATGCAAAACTGCAGCGACAGCACGTTGAAGGCCTCGCAGCGTTGTGGTTCCGCCAACATCCAGGGTTGGACTCAATGCTCGAGGCTGTCAGAATACATAGAGAAGCTGTGCAAGACACTTGTCCACCAGCTCAAATGTGCAGTGAGCTCAAATGGCTCAATTGGGAACAAGACTTATGTCCGGCGGCAAAAATGAGCCTTGGCAAGCTGTACATGGAGCAGGCGGGTGAGTTGGGTCCGTCAAAACGCATTCAACTTATCGTCTTGCAACTCATGAGTTGCAAGACGATAAGTTGAGTGTCCGGAAAGCCACGAAGCCCTGTAAAACACAGGGCATTTCACCCTCGGTGTGTTGCGTTCGGGGCTAACCCCCCGTTTACCCAACATGTTGCTATGACCAGGTCACCGGAAAGCCTTCTCACCGACATCTCCACAGAGTCCCTGAGATGTTAGCAATTCAGCCCAGCGGCGTTGTTGTAAAGCATCCAAATGTCCCAAATCTGAGCGGAGTGGAGACGGAGGGTGTTGGCCTGTTCAAAGTCCTCCTCGTTCTCCGAAAAAAAAAAAAAAAAAAACATGGAAACAAAGCCAACAAAGCCCCTTCCATGTTTGGCAAAAGATGGGTGAGGGGAGAGTAGGCCCGCAAAAAAAAAAAGGGTAAATAAAATCCCTTGGGTCCCCAATTGCAGTCCATCTGTCTGTCTAATCTTTAATGTAGACTGTTGATTGATTAGAAAACCTAATATGGAGATGTAACACCATTCTGGTAGGAAGGTTTTATTCATCAACAGTCTACACTCCCTGAAAGAATCACGGAAGTAGAAACAACCTGTTTGTGGAGGAAAATGATCACCCGAGGACTCCTTTTCCACTTCCATGACTCTTTCAGGGAGTGAGCTGTACATTAAAGGTTATATAAATCCAGATGTTCAAGAACCGTCTCACATGTCATGCCCATCCGCCCCATCTGCCCCATCCAAAACAGCGATCCGTCGGAAGCCAAGGCACATCGGTGGGAAGCTGGCAAATCTGTGAACAGCGTTCCGCCACAATGGCCGTGTCCACAAACTCCCAGGAAAGTGTCCTGAGTGTTTAGTGTTCGCTTGCTTCATGGATAAGAATCATGGATAAGTACCTAAATAGACGAGCCAAATTGGATCCTCATGTTTCCAACACATGCTAAAGTATGTTACAGTACTGCAATTCAACTTCTTGGAACGGGCTATTGGGGCATTACAATGTCACGCATGATTCCTGAGGATTGATTGTTTTTGTACAGGTTGCATCTTGCCATCAAAGCCCAAACCTATGAGTTTCATCTCTGCTTCGATCAGCTGAATTGCGTTGCAACATCTCCTACTTCTCCCTCGGCATATACCCAGCATCAACTCTAAACACTGGTCATGCTGCCACAATCAACCTGCTATTTTGCCCTGGATCCTTTGGAACAAAAGGACGAACGGATCGACCACACATCGACCCACATGGACCTCCTTTCAGCTCTTCAACCCACGAAACTTCAAGGAATCCCCATCCCAAAACCTTAGGCCCAAAGCCATGCGCCCCCAAAACTGCCGCCCTGGTACCTCCCCAACTTGCCCAACCCTCCAACCGCCCCAAGAAAAAACACGGTGCACCAGTTTTTCGTCCAGACCGAGCATCATGTTCGTGGTCTCGTTCGCGCTGCTGCACACCACGCTCACCAGGCCCGCCCCATTGTCGCCGCTCGTGGAGTTCACACACCGGTCGCCTAGCTGCCGCGAACGAGGAAACGGTGGGCCCGGGCCAGTTGGGTGGTGCATTGGGCAGTTGGGTAAAACATCAAGGATAAAAAAATAGAGGATAGAGTCCCTTTTGACCAGACCTGGCGCCCCTTTTTACTGTCTATGGATAGGGATAGCAGCGTGAAGAAGGTGAAGTCTTGTAGGAACGCTGCGCACCCTGGAGACTCTGACTTCTGGGGTGCCCCTTCTTTTTTTGAAAGCCAACCTTTTCGTTTCCACAAACATCCAGTATCGAAGCAAAGGACTGAATCAACATCTACAATGTACAAAACCCTTGCAGCATGGCTGTCTGATCCTAGTGTTCAAAAGAAGAAAAACGGCTGCAGCCTGCGGTTTGTTTAGGGAGTTGTTTATTTTTCTCCGAGGTACAGAATTATAGACAGCACGAAGCAACCCTATCCCCCCAAAAAAAAGACTAGGCAATTTATGCTCATGCCTTTCTGCTCAACTCCACCCCACCACGCAACACGGCTTTATGTTCTGGCAAGCCACCGGCAACAACGAGTCGTGATTGGCTGTCCAACCTTGTTTTGAGAAGGCTTTGGGGGCACGGCGTGTCATCAACACGGGACACAATTCTTGAGTGATCTTGAGTGGCAAAACGTCAAAGAGTATGCAAACAAGGAGATCTCACATTGGCTTTGCTGTAGTCGAGCCCATGCAAGCAACACGTGACTCTACAAGTTGAATCATCTCGTCGGCGAACAAGTCGTAGAAGACAAACAAGGCATCGCAGCATCCTCTATTGTATTGGTTGTGGTCTGGTTCAACTTGAGATATCTACCGGCACATTTGCCACATCGCCCAGGCAGTGTTCACAACTCTCCCCGAACCTGCAACGAACTGCGGGCTGCCAAGGAACGCGAAGAGGTTCGAGGTAGACACTCCATCGCAGGTCGTCATGTATAGTGTAGGATCAGGCAAGAGATCAGATCCCTCCTGAAAAGATGGATGTGCTAGATTGAACAGTACAAAGCTAGTTGTACCGACGAGCTTTCTTGGGATCCTCTGAAAAGAACAGTCCAAATTCTTCCAATCAAGACCGCGGTGATCATACTGAAACCCAGTCACTCACAAAAAAGCGCCATAAACACGTGGAACCCCCATGGGGCGGCCGTCCCCCCTGTCTCCTCTGCATCGGTCACATTCACACAAAGCCCATCTGCAGCGCGTGCGGCATGCATCGCATAAACTCAAGAACTCGGTTTCAGTCTTGATTTTGCAATAAGACTCTCCCCAAAAAAATGAGAACACGCCCTCATTCGTCCTCCTCCCAAGCAAGAATACACCTTCCAGTGCCGCCAACCATCGCCCAACTTCAATGAAAAACCCAAACAATCAACAATTCCCCCCCCAAAAAAAAGAAACAGACGCAACACCCATCCTTCCTACTTCCTTCCTACTTCCTTCCTTCTTCGGCACTTCATCGGGTCCGATGAAACACACGAGTCCGATGACCCCCCCCCGGCGCTTTGGAGGTTTCGTAGCTCTCCACCCGAGAGCTGAAAGAGCTGATCCTCGGACCGGGCGCAGAAGGCGTTGACGGGCTGGGGTGAGGATGGTGGGGTCTCCGGTGGCCCCAAAGGCCCGGTGTCAGGAACCCAAAGCACATGCGGATGGGTGAGAAATCGAAGCTGAAGATGGAAGCGTGTGAAATGCAGTCGTGGTGTTGATGTCCAGAAAGACTTTGACGACTTGGGGAACAGGTCAAGCAGTGTTCTAACAGCACTTAAACAACACTAGTAGAGGCCATGTTATACATTGTTGTACCATTTTCGCAGGTCCCAACAGCTGGCCATTACCTGTCTAACTTGCCCATTTTTCGACGAAGTCCAGTGACGAGGGGAGGGGAGAGCCTCTTCCTCGTGTGTGGAGGTTTCCCCGACTGGACTCCTGGCTTGTCGGATTTGTTTGCTTCTATACTTGACACTTCAAGCAGCCGTTGGTCGCCTAGTACCGGTGGTCGCCTACATGGACTACCTAGAAAAGATGCATTTTCCACAGAGCACCCAAGGTTGCATGGCCCACCTTCCGTTTCGTCATGCCCCTGAAACCGAAACATGATCCAAGATGAGAAAACTCTAGAAAACTCATCAACTCCCCATCCAAACGAACCGCACGAACCGCTCGCCCACGGCCGATGCCGCTCGAACCGCTCGCCAACATTCGATGTGCAAGGGGCCGTGGTCGGCATCTGGGTGATACAGGATTGCAGCTCCAAGATCGTCGGATCCAAATCTGGCAGATGCTGGGCATTCCGGGCAAAAGCCGTACCGGTCAAAAAATAGGGCGAGGCACCCGAGCAAAGGAGAGGCGAGATATCGGTTCTTTTGCAGTTAGCAAAACAGTCTTTTCTGGTGGTTGTGGAAAAAGAATTTGGAGATGGTGAAAGTTTGCGGGCCAAACCAAAAGGACTAACTCACCATGACGTTCCGGAAGACTTCCGGCAAACCCTTCCACTTCGTTCTGGCTCTGCCTGTTGGGTCCATGCATTTCATCGTGCCCGCATTGCGCAGCCTCGGGTCATGGTCTCTGCGAGTCTCGTGTCAGGCGAGTCTCGGCGGAGCCGTTAACAGCTTTTCCTTTTTCGCAAAAAAAAGGCCGGGTGGATGTTGAACATCCGCAGTGTTGAATGAACGAGTCAAAGAACACCCACGGCGGATTGTCTCCAACTTGGCACGTGGATTGAGCACAGACCTTGAAAGGGGTTGGAAAGAGGCTCTGTTTGAAGACGTTACCTAGCAAAATACTCCAACGGTAGAGCTGCCAAGTTGCCCAAAAAGAAACAGCAAGCCAGAAGGTGAACGAACAACAAGTTCCAAACTCAATGCGGTACTGGAGGCAGTGTTCACACTTCCATCAACGGGGCATGAATTTGAAACTCCGGGCAGGGATTAGATTCTATCCATCTATCTAAATCAATCAATCAATCAATCAATCAATCAATCTATCTCTCTGTCTGTCTGTCTGTCTGTCTGTCTGTCTGTCTATCTATCTATCTATCTATCTATCTTGACCATGGTCTTCAGATCAGCAACTCATTTCTACGACCACAACTACCACAACTACAGTACCTCAATCTCTGTGTGTTCACAGGCTTGAAGCGGTTTCGGGTTGAAAAAAGAACAGCACTTGGACAAATGGGTGTGGGTCAAAACCGGGCTACCTGGGTTGACCAGAGAAAATGAACAGAATGGACTACCAAGGAGGTCAACCTACCCTGGTTTGGGGCATCGTTTTGATCCACGGCCAAATAAATCTCCAAGGCACAAGCCCTTGGTCGATGCTTGTGTCACATCAAGCTCCACGAAGGACCACTTCTGCATGCTGATCGCCTGCTTGAAAAAAGCGTAGAGTGTATCGTCATTGTTCGTCTATGATCAGCAGTACTGAGTACGCCAAAATCATACATCCCAGCAGGAGCCTTTTCAGTGGCGTTCTGAACAGTTGACTGCACCTGTCCGCCTGTCCTTGCACGTGTGCTTGGAGAGGGGTGCTCCACCTGGCCTCTGCACAGGTCGGTGGTCCAGACCAGGCGTTGTTGTCGAAGAGCATGATCGCAGAACCTTGATGCGGCAAAACCGCGAGGTGATGAGTGGCGCACCCGTCCCATCCAGCTAGGTCGAAACTACACCTCAAACCCACAGCAACATGGCTGACTCGCTCCAGGCAGGCCATGCTGAGTGCAGAGCACTCATCAACCATTGAGTACTGAAAACCATGATAGATTAATTTAAGAAAACGAACTGATTGTTGTTTTTGGGGGCTGTGGAACATATCTCCAGGACTAGGAGGTTAGCTCAAGGCCTCACCACGAAATCCTCACCGGCCCCTTGCGACGGGGCACTGTTTTGCAGATGGCAGCCACCATTGGACCACCAAGAAAAGTGGGCACACCCTGCCACGCTTGCACAGCCTAAGACTTGCAGAAGAGGGTGCATTCAAAGCGAGAAGACAAAGAAGCTGCTTTCCAACATCAGCATGATTCTGGTCAAAGAGTAGGCCCAAAGAACGCAGAAACTTCTACCACGGTCTGGGTTGCTTTCTATTGACACGCAGCAAGGAAAAACACCAAGCCACTCTCCCCTACAAGTCATTGAGTGGTTGAGCAAAAGTACCTCAAAAGATGAGGCTTCAACGACATCTCAACAAATGGATGCAAAGTCAACGTCTAACACAGCGGTGCACTGATGTTGTTGTCCAAGCTTGAATGAAAGGGCCACGCGAAACACGGCCAACCAACCAACCCCAACGAATGAGGTGAAGCAGCTGCACGGCAAGCAAGCGCAGCTCTCCGAAAAATGTGTTGCGCAGCTATCCGCCCAACACGTTCTCACCCGTTGAAGTGGCTGAGATCCAACGCACCCACCGGGTTCCACCCGGATCCGTCGTGATTCTTCGACGAGACACGGCTCATGCACTGTGTCACGGTGGCTTCTGATGTGCGGCCTCCGTTTGGACGCTGGGGGAGTGAGGGAACGAACCTCCCGAAAGGAGACCTGTGTTGTAAAGCCTGGTCTCAGGTGAGGGGATGACCTAGTTCATGTTCTTGATGGACACATTCCTGCCCCAATTCCTGCATGAAATGCGATCCATGATAATACAAGGATAAAGATAGGGTAGTTGAGAAGTACCTCACATTACTTAGTGCAGGAGTTGATATCACTGATATCACCGACGCTGACACCAGCCACTAAAAGAAGATAAAGAAGGTTGATAGCCATCGGTCGTTCCTTCTCTTCGCAGAACACATGATTCTGGTCTCTCTCTCTCTCTCGCTCGGAGAATCCTCCGAAACAAGGCCTGCCCCATCAACGATACCGTCCAGGCGCGCCCGGATGTTGACAGCCCCATATGGTCGAACTACGTTCTTTAGGGTCATTGAACCCCTCGTCTCAAAGGACCTCGTCTCAAAGGACTCAAAATGACCGGAACCGATTTGCTTTGCCATCAGCAAATACATCTTGGGTGTCAAGCTGGTCTTGAGAAATCACCCAGCGCCATCTGAAAAACACTCAAGTTCGCGGCAACAGTGGACCCTTCTTGTGGTTCTCAGAGCTACTTGGCAGGACCCTTCGATCGATTAGCTCTCTGTCTCTTCACCGATAGATTTGGCAGGTTTGCCGAGCAGAGACACGTCTTAGGATTTGCACATCGAGGGTGTCTCTTGCAAAGCTTCAAAAGACCCTGTTTGTTTCTGCTATGAGGAGTCATGGAAAGAAAGGCATCACTTGAGAAGAAAACGAGCGCAACTCACGCCAAGTCAAACTCCCTCAGCGCATCAAGTTTGGGGGACCTTCTCGGGAAACAAGTTGTTTGACAATCAACCTTTGGGTTGCTCGGTCTTCTCTATTCGAAGCTCCGCGTTGGCGCCTGCGCCATCCATGTTCAAGGGATCAAACTTCATCCCCTTCTTGTTGCAGCTCACCTGGCAAAGAACTGTCCAACCAACGGGGGGCACTGGAGTTTTGAATGAATCCATGCCGAGAAAGCCCCAAACAGCCAAGACCCGTTTTCCAAGCCTGTTCGGGTGCCAAGAACTACACACATGTGGAGCTAGCAAGTGAATCATCAACTCAATAGATTGCAACATCAAACACCCATGAAGAACCATCAAACACCCATGTCCGCGCATGCAGCAGGTGTCCCCCGGCTGTGTCCCCGCCCGAAACATCGCAACCCCAATTCTTCGTCGATAAAAGCTGATCAAATGTACCCCCCCTGTCAGGCCGATGCCATGCAAACACAGCTTCGTTTCGGGACCAGGCAGTGCCCAAAAACATGTCACAGTGACCATACTCTTCAAACATGACTTCCGCCCCCCCAACAAAAACAAACTCAGCATCTTTTCCAACTCGACGCAAGGTGATCCAATCGCTAGCGATCCAAGGATGATGAGTTACTCATCACCCAACACGGACGCCATGGCGCAGGCGGCCGGCGTCCGATCCGCTGGTGTGGCACCTCCAATTCGCACTCGGTCCATCCCACCACGCCGTCGCTGTTGGAGTCCTCAGTGACCATCGTGAGACTCGGATTCCTCGATGTGTTCTGGGACTCCAACATCGGATCCTTTGTGTCAAAACTGTGCAAAAGAGACCAACAGAGGTTGAAGGACCCGAACTAGCCTATCCCATAGGTATGCCAGTAAGGTCCTATAAGGTCACTTAACCTCTCTTGGGAAGTCTTTCATGAAACTCAAACAAACAAAACTGCAACTCAAATCTGCCCCGGCTGCTACAACAGTGTTGTCCTAGCGTTGCACAACCGAAGCTCCACCTCTTGCTTGACCAATGACACATGATTAAATAACATTAAACATACACTAATCTGGGTTTACCAAGATGTTGAGGACTCTGCAATCGGTTTTGGATAACAGCAGTTTAGAACTGCCAATGCGTTTTCTAACAAAAACAATCCAACCATTTCAATAGCTTTGTCTTGGAAGTAGGTAGGACCCACCGCGGAAAGGACATTTCAAGATACAGTATTTCAAGAACATCTCCAGGGTCTCGTGACAATTCATAAGTTCAAGCCATCCATGGGTTTTTGAAGGCCATGAATGGCATCACATCATGTTCAAGCCATGCCAATCAAATCATGTCTTCACAGGCCAAGCCGTGTCCAGTTCACCTCGTGCCGTTCCATGTCAACCCGAAACAGCTTGGTCCCGACCAAGGGGCCAAGCACTTGGCGCTCCACTGGTTCTGGACGAAGCCTGACACGTGGGCTCGCCCCCGATGGACAAGCCGGGAGTCGCATCCTTTCGGGCAAGCGCCGCCGATGGGGTTTGTACACGAGATGCGACTGGGATGTGCCAAAAAGAAGATCTGCCTGGAAGTGAGGCGGATGTTCTTCTGGATCAAATGACTCAAAGACTTTTAAGGAAACAACGACTGATGTGGCCGAAGCAAATGCTTCAAGTAAACTCAGAGAATTGATGAGAAAAAACGAAGCCTTCCGCCCGTGCCTTCTGCATGGAAGTAGAACCGCTGTCCGGTGTGATCATCTGTGTTGTTCCTGGGCTGGAGGTGCTTGCCCAACGCGTCTTTGCAGCAAATTCTCAAACAATGGACCCCTGATCCAGCCCAGCAAAGAAACTGGTTACCTGGTTGGCCACGAATCATTGCTCGGGCCTGGTGCGGTGGGAGATCACCTCAAGCTATGGCAAGTCATGAGATGACTCAGTCCGACTCCGTCGACGGTCAATCGGCCAAATCCAGCGAACTCTTCGCAGCTCTTCACAGCGCAGCCCAGACACGAGGTCGGGACGTTCTCGCAGGACCTTGGCAGTGCGCTTCTTCGTTTGAGCTCCGATCCAGCCGACGTGACGCGAGCAATCCCCGCACCGCCTTTTGGCAGAATGGACCGCAAATGTCCCCCACCCAGGCCCACCTGAATGGGTCCCCAAAAGAGGAGCCGTATGGGAGATCCACAGGATCCAAAGAACTGAGCGATATTTCACCCACTTTGAGTGAGACCTCTTGAGACGTCATGGCATTTGTCTCGACGGGACCCGCTGCATCGAATGTCCCCGCTCCCCGTGAGCCAATTGGACCGAGGGGCGAGAGCACCACGTCTTGGTCACTCCAGGTGCTCCCTGTGGGAGAAATGCACCTGAGCTTCTTGAGTCAGTGAAAAGACTATGGAAAGACCTGTGAGACCATCTTAGGAACAGCGTGGAACAGCACTTTTGCGGTCAAAACAGCATGCTGTGGGGCTTTGAGTCTAGATGTTATGAACAAGCAGAGTGTGACACTTTTTGATTCAGTCTGATTTGCTTACAAACACCCATTCCACACCAACTCTTCCATGCAACAGAAGAATGCTTCCAACAACTACCTGGGAGACTCTTCTCCACTACAAACTGGCTGAGTCCATAATTATTGTCAACCAGTCATCATCTTTGCTCAAACATCTGTCGCTGCCAGATTGTTTTGACGATCATCGACCACCTTGGTGGCCACCACTCCCACCCCCTTCCTGAGGCCCGCCACATGCCCGGGCAGCCCACGCTTTCCATGGTTCCGTACCTGGTCGTGGCGGCGTGGCGACGTCGGCGGCCCTCTCCAACGTCCTGGGCTTCCGGAAGGCTTTGGGGAAGCTCGATCCAGCAGATTTGGGGATGGACGAGTCTCAAGGATCATGGATTGATGGATCATTTCGGGAACCATGGACAATTGAGGCCCCTGTCAGGTGATTCGGCAGAATTTTAAGCCTTCTCCACATGTCTCCACGCGTCCAAGGTGCGAATCCACCATCCACCTCTGCGGGTTCTTGTCCGCAGGCAAGAAGAGCGTGCAATCCTGACAGCTTCATCCGCACAGTCCGGTTGAACCCCCCCCGCAGTCTTCATCCGCGAAACGTCCAGAGAGCTCCCCCCACCCACCGCGAACGTCGTGTCGAGACGCGTCGTCTTCTTCCGTCACCCAAGGGTCGCCGACCCACGGGCGACCGCCTGACTGGGTCGTTCTGCAAACGGCCGTGGAACAGAACCGGACGTTCTGGGCGTCTGAAGGCGACATGTTCTGTTCGACCCGGGGCGTTGATTGGAACGGAACAGCAGATATCCAGGCTCTTCTCCTTGTACCTATTCCAGGTCCTCTCCCAGACTTCTTGGAATAGAGAGGAAAGCACCCTCCTGCACGGTCAAGGCTGCTGCTTCAGTGCAGCTGGCGGGGCTCAAGCAGCGCCCGGTGAGATCTTGCCGAAGGAAGCCGCTCCTGGCGAGCGGACGACGTGACATATGCCAACAGGTCAAAAAAAACTGGAACCAAAAAGAAAAGAACGACTTGCGGACTCATCAAGAATGAAAAAGACCAAACACTGGCACGAAATATTACCTTTTGGTTGTGTGGTTCAGTCGAAATCAAATGAAAGACATCCTGGGTTTGAGGCCTCAAAAGCTGATGTCTTTGGACCGCCCTAGAAACCTTCGATATGGCACTGGCACACCTCACATAGTTCACTCCTTTGTGGACTTCGAGAGTCTTTCAATCACAAGAACATACCAGAACCTTTGTTGCCAAAATTCCCGTTGCCAAAATTCCCACCTCGGTTTTCAGGTGTCCAATCTGTCTGAAGTAGATTCAACAGATTTCAAGAGAGCCAACCTTCCCGACCCGATCTCGGTCATGGGGGCTCTGGGACAACAAAGAGATTGAACCAAATTCTTCCAGAGGGACTCCAGGGCTCCATGTAGCCTATACCGATCCTATACCGATCCGCACATCTTTGTTGAATCTTCGTCTGTTGACCACACAACGTTCGTTCGACGTTCGTCGACGTTCGTCCCTTCACAACGAACGTCGAGGGAGACTCACCCACCTTGGAGTGACCATGACCGTGGGAAAGGCCGTGGTGGTGGAGGTGGTCGCCAAGGTGGTTGTCTGCGTCCTGGCACGACCGCCGCGCACGCGGCGAAACCATTTGGGAAGGTCGTGGTGACAGAAAGGGGTGGGGCACTGTGAGATAGTCTTTTCGTGATTCCTTCGTTTTGCGTGGCAGCAAAATCTGAATATGACTCAATTGTTCTTGTTACACCAAATCATCTGCTGGTCACTGTGGTCACCATCTTTGCAGCTCGGCGGGTTTCCAGCAGCTTTGGTCACCCAAACCGCTCAAAGACTCCGCTACTCCTTGTGGTCACCGTGGTCGAGGTGCTTTCACACCAAACCTGGCCGCGTGACGGAGCGGAAAAAACCCGCTGCCAGAGAAAAGCTGCCACCAATGGCCCTTTTTGGTAGAGAATACGGTACCCATCGCTTAGAGAAAACATGGAGAAAACGGCAACATCACGCTGAAAACACGAGCCCGCGCGGAAAAAAGATGGTCCCCAGATGTCCCCAGCCCGGTTCAGGAATGCTGCTCTTCGTTTCTAGTCTAACCGCCCCCAGCCCAACCGCCCAACCCTACAAATCGCCCGAAATGACCCTGGTCACTCTGGTCACTTCGCCTTCCCCCTCCTCCCAGCCCACCCACCACCACGAAACACTACAAATCCAAAAACTCCCGGCCCTCCCCGGCCCTCGGTTTGGCCAGGGTGGCCTTGGCATCTTCGGAGTGGAAGCAATTGCTCACGCCCCAGTCTGCTTTTGCGCACAAGCTGAGGTGCGACTCGTCGCCTGACTCGCGACCCGGACGAGCTCGTCCTTGGAGTCATAGAGAGACCCCCCGAGGACTGGTCGTTCGGTGTTCTTGTTCGGTGGGGTCGGGGGAAGCTGGGGGAAAGATGAACGAAGTCCCTACCAGCACCTTCAAAGGGGTCACCAATGGAAGCCCCTACACTACCTAGGGATCTCCATTGGACACCCCTTTGAAGGTCCAAATATGTTATTCCTTCTTTTCAGTGGAAGGCTTACGGTATGACACTGATTCCACTGATCGCGGTCTTCTGTCGGGGTGACTCGGTTTCTAGTGCCGATTCGGGTTAAAGTTCGATCCCCTCCCTCCAGTGGCAGCGTCTGCGGCTCCACTCCACGAGGGTTCACGCACGCCTACGCAGTCAATGTCATCGATCCAAATCCTTGGGGCGCCGTGACGCCGAGGGTCGGACGTTCCGGCCGAGCCGATAGTACTACCTCAGTCACCTCTACTGTCCAATGCACTTGTGTTCAGCTGCTGCTCGCTGCTGAAGTCACCGAGCCGTCGTTTCCTTTTTGCTGCCCAGCTTCTGTTGGCTTTCAGAGCCAGGACTTCCGGCCTAGTATGGGGCCGTGCGGCTGGGACACGGTGGCCCAATTGGTTGATAGAGCCTGGCTCAAAGAATAAGAGCCCAAAGGCGCGGGTTTCGGAGGGGTCGATTTGTCCTCTGCCTCTATGTTAACCCAATTGAGCGGTGTTCAACATTGTGTTGTCTTTTCTTGCCGAGAAATCAAACCTTACGGTAGGCCTTACGCAAAGCTTACGTTTTTCTATGTTTTGCTTACGGTGACACATGTATGCATGGCTATTCTTACGTTGTGCTTACGGCTAAGGTATGCAAGTCCACCACAATGGTCACATATGAAATGTTGTTGCAAAACAAGAAAGGAAACATAATCAAATCAACAAGTGTCGCTTCCGGTAGCCTTCCGGCATCGTTCAAGTCTGCACATCCTTACAGCAAACCTTACGGACACCTTACAAACATCAGCTAAAATCACTATGTTCACTTATTTTTCGCCGGTCCCTGACTAACAAGAAAGGGTGAATTTAGAACGCTGCTCAATTGATCAATGGATTAGCGGAAACCTCGCTCAAAATGGTGCGGAAATGGGACAGCTCCCCAGCCACCACAGCCCCTCATCCCGCCCAACTGCAGCGGCTCCTGCGCCGAACTGTCAAAGCGAGCGTAGGTATCTGAGTGCAGTGCTTGGCAGTCAAGGTACCCGTAGCAGCTAGGGAGACGTGTGGAAGAGGTGTCATGGGGGAGAGAGAATTGCTTGGCATGTCGTGCTTGAACCCAAGTCTGGTCAAATGGTCTGATCACCTTCGAATCGGTGGCATCTCATGCACGATTTCGTCCTCAGCCACAGGCTATTCTTGCCAGCCCTTGGGGTGCAAAGCCACCACAACCCACAAGGAAAATGGGATGTTCACCTACGCCCACGCTCCAGGGCCCGCGCTGGTTAGACCCAGCTCGTTGCACACCACGGTGGCTTCCACGTCGTCGAAGCCATCGGAGCAAACCTGAGGCCACCGGGTCAGAGACGAACGGCGCTCCCAACACCGCCACAGTTCCACCGAACATGAATAGGTCCGAACGTACCCCCAACGTCCCCCCACCGCCGAGCGGGCTGGGCACAGGTTTGGACACCAAACCCCGGACCCCTGCATGCGCTGCAGCCTCGCGATGTCTGTTCGATCTCCAAGGAGCAGTACCCCACTCCCCATTGTAGAAGACCTCCACTCGGCCCGCGACATGGCCTTCCTGAGCGAACCCGCTCAAAACGCGCTGGGCTGGTTCTGAAAACGCGCTCAAAACATCAAAAAGTGAACAAAGCACAGCCACCAGCAGTCACAAAGGCGGTGCTTAATGGAGATTAAGGGGTGCCCATTATCCACTCACTTAGGGACTAAACACCACCCCTTTGTGACAGCTGGCAAATAATAAGTGGAACATCGTCTCCCAATGTTTGAAGTTTTTTGTTGGTAGATGTTCTTGTCACAAATCTTGGAGAGTTCTGCTTGCAACTGAATTGGCCGATGGCAGCGAATCTCCCACATTGAACAGATCGCCTGGCAAGCCGTGCCCCCAAGTGAGCGAAGACAGAAGACATGTAGCTTCAGCAGCTTAAGCCAACCTGTGCCCCTTGAGCTAAGGTGAAAAACAAATTTCTAGGAAACACCTCTGAAGGATTTGTTTGTGAATTGCACTCTTGCCAAGTCCTTGCCAGGTCCTTGCCAGGTCCTTGCCAGGTCCTTGCCAGGTCCTTGCCAGGTCCTTGCCAGGCGTCCACCCTCACAACCGGTAACCGATGCACTGAGAGTGCAGCGTACCGCATATGGCGAAGTCAATGTTTTGTGTCTCTTCTCCATAGGTAAAAGGTGGCAACGCCCAGAACACAAAATTGAAAAAAACTGCGTTGTTTCAATGCCAAGCACAGTCAACCACATCGGGCAAGGTGTGCGATAGCCTGAAAACAATTAACATGCCTGATTCTGCAGCCTACATCGGGAGCGAAGCTTTTTCGATTGCCAAACCTTGGAGAAAATCAACTACCGACAACCCGATGCAGTTCAGAGACCATATTTTCTATAGATGCCATCGCCTCCGCTACGATCCTTCTCTGAAACCAATGGCTTCCAACAAGTGTGGAGAAGACCCCCCCCCCACTGGCTTTTGAACTCCACTGGTCCAACCTCGTCCTTCCTTCCAAAAAAACAAAACATCGGTGAAGCCACCCACGTCGAGCCGTGAACTCCGCGGCGACGTCTCCGCGGCCGGTTTCCGCGGCGGTTTCCGCCGTTCCCGCGCGTGCGTGTCCGGTAATAAGCGGCCTGAAAGTTGCACCAAGCGCACCGGTGGAGGTGGCAAGGTCGTGGTGGTGGTGGACGTCTGTGTGACGGTGCTGGTGAAATTGCCCTTAGACGTGTTGTTCGTCGTCCGCAGGATCGGGGAGAGCGATCGAGGAGCTCGGACGCGAACCGAGCTCCTAGGAGGCACCTGTTCCAAGTGGGCATGCCCCAGCATGGTTGCCCGCGTTTGGGTACATGGGGCTAGAGAAACAGCTGGACCAAAATATGCGGCATGCTTGCTCAAGTCGGATTGGTGAAGCAAGTGTCTCTGTTGCAAACGGTGCCACAAGAATGGATCAAAAAGTGGGTCAACCTGTGCACAAACCCAAATCCCATAACGCCCCAATCCATTGCAGCAAACTCCTTTGGAGTCCAAGGAGCAACCAGGCCACAGTTGGTCCACAAGCCTGAAGCGCCCACGACGGCGAAACGCAGCGCCGTCAGCAAGTGTCTCACAGTTGCCTGAATTTGGCTCCATCTGTCATTTGCCCGACCTTCCATCCTCCCATCACGCCAAAAGGAAGAACATCATTAGTGAGACACCCTTCCAAGAGTTATCTCTTCCAGGAGTTGCCAACCCTTCCAGGAGTTGTCCTCCCGGGAGAGAAACCAGGGAGTTGTCAAGCCTTCGGTACGCTGGTGTCCGAACGATGTGCTGGGCTGATACCCCCACGAACTTCCCCTTCTCAAAGGTCCCAAGCACGTTCAAACGTTGCCCCAATCTAAAACTCAGAAGTCTTCGTCACCCAATCTTGGCGCATGGGAGTGTGTCGTCAGCCCCACCCCGTGATGGAACTGTGTCAGGCATCTCAGAAATCCCAATACACCTATAACATCCTATGGCCCATAGCGAGAAAAACCATGGGAGAAAGATTGGCTGGGGGTGCGAATCTTAGCTGTGAGGGACAGCTGCAACATGATGAAACAGATTGAAACAGCTGGGTTGCCCAGGTCTGATTCGTCAAGGAGCAATCGGACTGGCAGTCCTCAACGATCTCGTCCGAGGTGTCCCTCAGCGATCTCGCAAATCCGAGCGGGGGAAAACGATGCTTCCGGAGGTTCAGGCGACGGCGGAGCGGAGGAGCTAGATGCTCCAAGCCTCTGCGGCCAATTGATTCATGACTAGTAGGTTGGAGGCCATCGCTAGTAGGTTGCAAGCCATAGGTTGGAGGCTATCCCTAGTAGCTTGCAGGCCGTCGCTAGTAGGTTGGAGGCCATCGCTAGTAGGTTGCAGGCCATCCCTATTAGGTTGGAGGCCATCGCTATTAGGTTGGAGGCTATCCCTAGTAGGTTGGAGGCCGTAGGTTGCAGGCCATCGCTAGTAGGTTGGAGGCCATTGCTAGTAGGTTGGAGGCCATCGCTATTAGGTTGGAGGCCATCGCTATTAGGTTGGAGGCCATCACTATTAGGTTGGAGGCCATCGCTAGTAGGTTGAAGGCCATCGCTAGTAGGTTGAACGCCATCGCTATGAGTTTGGAGGCCATCACTACTAGGTTGGAGGCCATCGCTAGTAGGTTGAAGGCCATCGCTAGTAGGTTGGAGGCCATCGCTAGTAGGTTGGAGGCCATCGCTATTAGGTTGGAGGCCATCGCTATCAGGTTGGAGGCCATCGCTATTAGGTTGGAGGCCATCGCTAGGTTGGAGGCCATCGCTAGTAGGTTGAAGGCCATCGCTAGTAGGTTGGAGGCCATCGCTAGTAGGTTGAAGGCCATCACTATTAGGTTGGAGGCCATCGCTATTTGGTTGGAGGCCATCACTATTAGGTTGGAGGCCATCGCTATTAGTTTCCCTAAGAATCTAGGAACCAAATTTGGGTTGATTTCGAATGATTTCTACCACACACCAGTTGGTCAGAATGCCAAGAACGACCAGGTTTGGCCCTGAAATTCAGCTGGGGCCGCAAAACACACCGAAGACATCCAATTGAACATGTTTCTCCTCTTCGTCCAGGATAAAGCCATCCACTCTGCTCCACTCGTGCTACACACTCCCCTGTGTTACGCCAAAAGGCTGGGAGCAAAAGCTGGTGCAATTGTCCACGCAGGGGTCGTTGCTTGACAGGCGCCGGAATCTGTGAGCCCGGCGCAGACTCGGAGAAACGGAGAAACGAAACATCGCGCGACGCGACTCCGAGAAACGTTCCAAAACATCGAAAACGTCTTGGACTGGACCGGTTGCGGATGTCGCACGATGTCGCAAGACGTCGCCACAATGTCACAACGATGTCGCAGATGACAAACATCGCGCAAATGTTCTTCGGTGACGGTAGCACCTAATGGTTTGTTGTCCTCGTATGTCCTCGGCGTCATCTTCTGTTCTTGGCAGTCAAGCAAAAGGTGGGAAGCCAACACCACTGAGTGACAAATCTTTTCTTCGGACACCTTGACGGTCCTCGAGAGGATACACTGTTGGAAACTGAGAGATTTTGCTGCTTTGGTTTGGTGTCAGATGGTCTGCTGCAGTTGATTCATGCATGAATGTCGCTCCTTAGTTTGTTCCAAAATGATTTTGACGGCCATGGGGCACAGTTCTGCCCCCCAAAAAAATATGGGTGTCCTTATCCTGATGCAGCACCTCCAAAAAAAAGAAGTCTCAGAACATGCCCATCACCAAAAACAAGGTCCACCCCTTCTTACTCTCCCCTTGTTTGGAGAAGTTCCAGATCCCAGATGTTTGAGAGAGCACCATGAGTCCATGTGTCACATGTGGCACCATGACAAGGTGGATCCAGGTGGCATCCTTGTGGCATCCTGCACTCCGAACGCCCCGAACGCGTCCCATCTCCCACTTCGTCCGCCCCCCCAACGCGTCGCCTTGGAAGCTCCTCCAGGAGTCGGGCCTGGCAGAGCCGACTCGGACGTTTGGGGCGAAGGCTTCGCTCCATCGATGCGGAAACGAAGTAAACCTTGGACGCTGAAAAGACAGGACGGACCTGAAGGCGCGGGGTGTCGGAAGCATGCGAAGGCCATGTCTCAATTTTGACACAGCAAGAGCAAGAAGTCCATCTCGAAAGACTTTAAAATGCTTGCTTAGCCCTAATTGTTTAGGCTTAGGCGTCTCTTCTCCATATCTTGGGAGCTTGCAAGCCTGATGCTTTTGGTGCAGTTTTGACGCCCCATAGGTTTTGGATTGCTAGCGAGAAAATAGGAGAAAGGTCAACATTCGGGTGGCCCTACTCTTGATGAACAAACTCTTTTGCGCCCATTCAGACAGTCTTGCTAAGCATTGCAATAGTGGCGGGAATTCCATGCTCCCAAAGGGCACAGAGTTTGGTGAATCAACAGCACCTTGCTTTGAACCGGCCATCAGAAAGCCTGGACCGTGACGGCAGAAAATGCAGTTCGCGTCAGCTTGCCTCAGGCGGCCGTCATGCTGTGAAGCCCATTTGCCATTTGAGCTAGAGGAAGGCATTTTGATACAGTCTGTTCAAAGACTTAGTGTCTGCCTTGGTGTCTACGATGCTCTTCTAGCCAGCTCTGACAAATAGAGGAGTTGAGAAAACACACGTAAACACACGTCTGCATCTGCAGTGAGAACTCAGCATGTTTGCAAATCCCTTTTTGCGACGCATGCCGTACATGGTCAATCAGATCCGAGAGGTCAATAGCTTATGTCGATCGTCCAACACAGTCCAGTCAGACCTTGCTACGCCACAACTTGGTGAGCAACGGATGAAAGGCAATGAAAGTGTGGCACGAATTCCCCAGCTCACAACATCATGCAAAAAGAAACCTGGCCTTTTTTGACAGAACTTTGGAACAAGCTGCCAACGGATGGCACTTGGTCGATCTTCCAACGACCACTGCTCACTTCCTGCCCCACTGCTCGCTCACCGAGGGGCCGATGCTGTACCGTGAATACCGTTGGCGACGCCGGTGAGGATAGCCGTTGGTGATGGTGCCTCAGGGTGCGCGGGCTACAAACACGCCAAGCGTGGACGTCACCTGACTCCTGTAGGCCACTGAGTACGGGTCAGGACTCACCAAAATCTGCAAGTCAAGGTGGCAAGCATTCGCAAATCGATTGAACTTTTGTGTTATATAGTTATATAGTTAGAATTGAATGATTTTTTGATCTTAGATCCAGTATGTTTCAGAAAAGAACTCTGTGTTCGGCTAGTTTGGCCCAGATGCTGACCGTGCTTCCGTAGGGGTCGCTGGGGAAAAGAACACGGCTCCTCACAGTTGCTGTGATTCGCGTCAAAAGAACCATCAATGCACACGCGACGAAGAACAAAGTTCGATTATATATCAACTACCACACTAAGAGACATGGTGGTTGATCAAACCAACAGATTCTTACTGAAACGCACATGCTTCGCCCCCAAAAAGGTCTGTACTTGATGCAGTCAAATCTACCACATCCAGCGAAGCGCCGTCGGCGCTTCGCCCGACAAATGCCCGAATGCGCGACCGGCGAACTCCGGTGCTTCGCCGCTGGGTCTCGCCCCCCCGCGCTCCGGTCGGCGTCGGACCAGTCCCACACGTCCGCACACCTGCGGCGGACCGGTGCCACAGCGGGGCCGAGGGGTGGATCGGTCCACGGCCCGAGCGGGGAACCGGGGTGTCTAACTAGGGGTCTCCTTAGAAGTGATATCGGGGTATCCCATGAATCACCCCCTTTCCGGGAAAAGGCTCCGGGGTGGATCGATCGGCCAGTAGGGGCTCTGTTGGTTGAGATGGTATTTTTCCCGAATGCGTAGCGAAGGGTTCTCGTTTAACTCTGGGGGTCTGGGGGTAGAGCCTTGTTCGCGACCCGTTGTTTCTACGTCCGCAACCGTCCGCAACCGTTCGCAACCGTTCGCAACCGTTCGCGGTAGAGCGCTGAGGCGCTACCATTGGGGGAGGCTTTTGGAGAGGGTTTTGGATGGAAACGTGACTTGTCAGATTCGTGTGAAATAGCGAGGAATCGTGTGGAAATGTAAGATGTTGAAGTGTGGAATGATTTCACCTGGCAGGCGCAGCGTTTTGTGAGATCCGCAGTTTTCTGCACAGTTCCATTGGGATCAGCATTTGGAGATGTCGTGTTTTTGAGGTGTTGGATGTGGCCGTGCCATTAGGATTTGCGTTTCAGGATATCGCAGCGAAGCTCTGTTTTCGTGACAAGTCTCAGCTGAAATGGTGATTTTGGTGGATGGGAGTGTGCTCAGGACGGGTCGAAATCATTCCACACCACGCGTGCAAATTTTGTTGAAGCTCACATGACGTGGCAGGCGCAGTACTTTGTGCGGTTTTTGAGGCACGGAAGTGTGAATTTCGTGGCAGGCGCAGGGACTCGTGAGGTTGCGAGGTGTGACGAAGGTGACATTTCATGGCAGGCGCAGTACTTTGCGCGCGTTAGACATGGGGACGCGGAAAGATGCGTGGCAGGCGCAGGGATGAGTTGTCGTAGAGGTGAATGTCGCTGTGACATTGGGATTGGCGTGTGAGCGGGTGTTGTTTGGAGGGGTGGAATAATCGCGAACCTGCTTGGCAGGGCCGTGATGTGTGTGCTCCGATGGGTGTTTCCACTTGAGTTTTGGAGGAAGTCTCGTAGGAAACGCTCGCTTTGCAGACTTTGACATGCGAGTTTTTGAGGAAGTCTCGTACGAAACGCTCGTTTTGGAGATTTGACGCGTGACTTTTGGAGGAAGTCCGCTACGAAACGCTCGTCTCGCAGACTCGAAGCAAGATTTTTGGAGGTCTCGTACGAAACGCGTGTGTGGGCAGACCGTGTGGCGACACGACGTTCGTGATGTCCCAGCGCCAT